CTTCTCTTAACTTGTCTATATTTAATGGTCGATGTGGATCTGATGCCAGTGTGGGAAATTTTACGTTTGTGTCCTCTACAGGCGCAAGCGTTATTGACTATGCTATCACAACAAGTGATCTGTTTACATCGTGTAAGAATTTTAACATCGGATCTCGGATCGAGTCTCCGCACGCGCCAATCAATTGCACCTTTCAGTCACGTAACACTGAAATTGACAATGCTATGTCGGGTGAGAATGTGAAGCCCGAAGTTTGTATTAAGTATACTTGGCGTGATAACTTTGGTGATCGGTTAAGAGAAAATGTCTCATGTGATGAAAGTAAGCAATTGTTTGATGATTGTATTACGTTAGCATTAACAGACATAAATGCAGCAATTAGTAAATTTACGGAAGCTTTGTTGAAGGCAGCAGATTTTACAAAGCGTATGATTGTTCAGCGTCATGGACGCGACAAGCCGTGGTTTGATAAAGAATGTGGTTATCACAGAAGAGAAGCCTTCCGACTACTAGATGTTTTTAATAGGAAAAAGGATAATGTTTCGTTACAAGCCTATTCACTGCAGCGTAAAACATATATGGATATCGTAAGGTGTAAGAAAAGAGCTTTTAATGATTTGATTCGTGATAGACTTTCATCCAATATCAATAATTGCAAAACATTCTGGGAAATGTTAAGAAAATACACTGGTGTTGAAGAAAGGGAATCGTCTATCCCCATTAGTGACTGGTTTTCGCATTTTAAAAAATTATTCCAAGATATGCATACCGTTTTCTCTCGTGATATTACGAAAGATGGTGTAGATTACCCTTTTGATGATGTCACATGTTCTATACTTGACAGCCGTATAACTGAAGACGAGGTGTTGCAAGCTATCAATCAATTAAAAAACTGTAAGTCGCCAGGAAATGATTCTCTTATTTCTGAATTTTTCAAAGCATCAAGTGATTTAATAGTACCATACCTAACAACCTTGTTTAACATTTTATTTGAAAATGGTTCGTTTCCCTAGTCGCGGTGTACTGGTGTTATCATACCTCTGCATAAGAAGGGCGATTACTCAAACCCCAATAACTACCGTGGTATCTCCTTGCTCAGCACTTTTTGTAAACTTTATGTATCTGTACTTAATTCAAGACTTACGTTCTGGTCTGATGCGTATGATAAAATTTGTGACTCTCAAGCTGGTTTTAGGAAATGTTATAGTACTATTGATAATATATTTATTCTGCAGTCTGTAATCCAGCATTATCTGTCTAAGAAGCGTGGTAAATTATATGTTCTTTTTGTTGACTTTAAAAAGGCTTTCGATTTTGTAAATAGATCTAAACTTTGGCTAGTTCTTAAATCCAGAGGTGTGTCCCCAAAAATGTTAAATGCATTAGAATCCATCTATTCCTGTGTTAAAAACTGTGTTAAGATCAGAAATTGTTTTACAGAATGTTTTGATTGCCCTCTAGGACTTCGGCAAGGCTGCGTAATGAGTCCATTCTTATTTTCTATTTTTATAAACGACTTAGCTTTGTATATAGAATCAACATGCACTCCAGGTGTACAGCTACCCCCTGACACTGTACAGATTTTTCTATTGTTGTTTGCTGATGATGTTGCACTTATTGCTGATACTGTGTATGGCCTTCAAAAATGCATAAAAGCTCTGGAAAGTTTGTGTAGTAACTATCATCTAACAGTCAACTTGGATAAAACTAAGGTAGTGGTATTTAAAAACGGGGGTATTTTATCAAAATATGAAAAGTGGTATTTCAAGGGTAAAAAACTTCAGTGTGTAAGTTCTTATAAATATCTCGGTACCATTCTTTCAAAAACTCTCTCCTGGTCTTCGCATGTTAATAGTGCTGCTTTACAAGCTAAAAAGGTCCTATTTGGTGTCATTAAATCTCTAAAAATGCTTCAACCTCTTCCTTATGACTTGTTTTTCAAAGTTTTTGATTCTAAAATATCTCCAATTCTTTTATACGGTGCCGAGATTTGGGGTGTAGATACCTACAAAGAATTAGAGCAAATCCAGATACTAGCATGTAAACGCTTCCTTGGGGTTAAACAATCTTCATCAAATCATGTGGTTCGGGGGGAATGCGGAAGGTATCCTATGTACATATGGGCTTATAAGCGTGTAGTTACTTATTGGTACAGAATTTTACATTTACCTGAAAATAGATTAGTTAAGAAATGTTATAGATTATTATTACTTGATGTTAATAATGGTAAGATCAACTGGGTCTCTAAAATCAAACACATTCTCTGTTCGTTTGGTTTTGGCTACATATGGGAGATGCAATTTAGTAATAAAAGTAGAAGCTTTATCTTGGAATTTGTAAACCGTTTAAAAGCCTCGTCTGAGCAAGATTGGCATGCAGCTGTTTCATCTAGCACTAAATCCCAAAGTTACTCTCTTTACAAAATTTCATTTGGCTTAGAAAGCTATATCAAGGTAGTAAATGTTTCAAAATTCAGAGCTGCTCTTGCTCAGTTGAGATGCTCCTCCCATCGGCTGAGAATTGAGACCGGTCGATATATTAAGGAAATAAGAGAACAGAGACTGTGTTTGTTGTGTAACCAGAATTTTATTGAGGACGAATATCATTGTGTGCTTGTATGCAATGCTTATAATAATTTAAGAGCTGAATACATTCCTCCTAAATATTTTACAACCCCTTCTAAAAATAAATTTAATGCTCTTATGTCATCCACTAACTCTAAAATCATACGAAATCTAGCAGTCTACGTCTACAAAGCTTTTCGACTTCGTTCATTACATACAGTCTAAATATTTATTTGTGTATATGCATGTGTATGAATGTGTATGGATATGGCTGTATATGTAAACTAGTGGTAATTCTTTTTTCTCCCTCTCTCTGTAAATACTTCTGTGTAATAGGCCTACGGCCTAACACATTTTGTGAATAAACAATATTATTTGACAAAGTCGTCCAGTTCTAGCATTTAAATCGCGATCGCCACAAAGTATAGTTTCAACAGATGGCAAGTTAGCTGTAAAATCAATATAAGAATCTAAGATGAGGTCAATTCCATTTTTCGAACGCTTATCGTCATACCATCTTGATCCTTTTGGCTGAACATATGTAAAGATACACAATACATGTTTTTCACATGAGAACAAATTATTGTCAAACAGCGTGAAAATAACATTTTCAAACTACCGGACACATTTGATATATTTTGAAATGTTATTTCTTATAAACAATATTATACCTCCCGAGGCGCGTCCTAACTGTGATAGCTTAATACCGGGTACGTGAAAACATTTATATCCTGGAAGGGAAAAATCAGTATTATCTTTTTCATGTGACTATGTTTCTGATAAGTGGATGATCATCTTTCATCTTACTGTGCAGACCTGAAACATTTCATGTCAAAGTCGACACATTGTTTACAGGCTTAATGTCCACCGACGGTGACGTAAGTCGGGCCCGGCCGTATCCCTATGGATGAGCAGATCCCTGTCTTGTTAACGTTGTTCTGAAGAGTTTTGTCCGTTATTGGCAAACGCGGAGACTTGGTTAGGGGGCATATCCACAACTATAAGGTTCCCATTTTTGTACTAACCCCTCTTCCCATCTCCAGCTAGAGATTTCAGTTTATTCCGCTGTGGTGCAGTAAGGTCGTTTGAAATTCCAATTTGTTTAGTTTTTAATTGTTCTTTCTTCTTTAAGGCCCAAATCTTTACCAAAGTTTCCCAGAACGCACATATGATAGGTATCGGTTCCTTTGCTGTAGCTCCTCCAGGTCTATGCGATCGGAGAATATCGTTCGGTTGAATCGCACTGTCACCTTTCTCACATACTGAGTTTAAAACTTCCAGTTCTTTGTTGATCCGAACGATTGATCGCCACCCTCTGGCACACTATGCAAGATGACATTATCCCCCCGACTAAAAATGTCTAGTCTCTCAACCCTGTTCTCGATTGCACTTATGTCTTCTCTATGTGTAAAACCCTGTTGGTGTAGTTGCTCGTGTACATAGTCCACATCCAGTTGTGTAATATGTTGTTGTTCTCTCATTTGTGAAATAGAATTTTATAGTTCAACACTTTTGTCAGTTGCTTTCTTTATGTTTCCTTGCACGTGTTTAAGGTCATCTTTTAATTGAGCGATGTCCTGCTTTATATCTGTTTACATGTTTCTAAGTTCCTCAATGATGTCAGCCTTAGTTTTATCAAGATGTCATTGTCTGATTGGTCCAGGGTTCAGTTCAACATCGCCCGAACATAGTTACAGTAAATATACTGACACAGAGAGCTGAAACTGTTCACCAGACACGAGGAAATCACTGGACGGGTTGCTACTGGAACACAGAACTTGCTGTGGCTAGGTTATTACGTCCACAAATCAAGGACAAAAAGTTTGAATGTAGACGGAAACACTTATCACATTTCACTTCCAATTCGAACTACTGTGAACCATTCTCTAATAGGGAAAGGAAATAGCCGACTTGTCATTTGAATAGAGAGACCAAACACAGGCTTAGCTGCATGTGAATCTGAGATTTTGAATATGGTTACAATCTAATTGCAAACAAGTTAATAACTTCCAAAATAACTCGGGTCCACATTCAGCCCTATATGACACCAATATATCAAACCTTCAAAGACAAGGAGAGGTTCAATATGATCTTTAAAACCCCATTGCCACAATTGTTAAAAAGCAACACGTAAAGACTGTAAAGTTATACGGTTATATCTGGTTGTTAAAACACATCTGTGACGTCATTCTATTGTTTGAACGCTCCATTATTTTTCAGGAATGGAGAGTTGCTTGTCAACTGTACATTATCTTAAAGCAGTATTTGAATTTTTCACATATTTTCGACTACAGAATATTTTGTCAAAGTGTAAAAGTAGGGATGAGTTTTAAGTAGGGGAATATCCTCGTAACTCTCCATTCCTTAAAAATAATGAGCCTCGGCCCCTGCGGGGCCTCTGCTCCATTATTTTTAAGGAATGGAGAGTTACTCGGACATTCCCCTCTACGTAATGTTCAAGCGACCATTAGAGTGTCTCTGTGCTTATCGTGAGGACATCCTTCTTGAATACAGTCAAGCATAGTTAAATGACCAGCGTTTTCTCCTTCGTCCTCGACAGTGTCTATCAATGACACTGACACAATCTGAAAGGACAACTACGACCAGTAAGACGACAAAAAATATGACCCCCGCCTTCCCGATTAAGTTTGCAGATGGGCGGTCATCTTGTGCAGATATTTTCGCGCGCTTGTACAGCGAGAGCGTCATGCGATCAATGAGTAGTTCTTTGACCATCCTTTCAATTTCAGCCACAGACGTTACGCTAGGTCGGAATGCCGCACAGATACACGCACATGTGTTGATAGCTATGTTGGTGTCATCTGGAGGGAAAAACGAAATGCATTATTTTTTAAGAGATATACACATGTCATCTGAATGTGAGGGATATGACTGAAATGGTTTTGATCGTAGATGACTGCCACTTTAGTGAACGTAAACATCACGGGTGTTGCCAGGCCACGGGTTATGTAAGAAATAAACGACGTGTTGGAGTTGTTTGTCGTACAATAAAACACTGCAGGGAGAATAAACCATAAGGGGTTTGTTCTCCCTGCAGAGTTTTAAGTAATTCGGATCTGCGACGTTTCTGCCAAGTCTAAGAGCGCAGCTCCGCACAGTGAGTTGCGGCACGATGGACGGCCACCCGTACCCACGGCAAAAATGCGACTATTGGCAGCAGTAGCATAGAGGATCCTGATGCGTCAGTTGTCCTATCGGTTCCCGCTGTATTCCGCGCCAGAAAATAGATATTCTGTCGTCAATCTTTTTAAATTCTGCAACCAAATTATGATAATTCTGCACACAATTCTACAAACTTAATTTTAGTGAAGTTTTTGTTTTGCACCTGTTTCTCTTGTGGCAGGTATGTTTAAGGTAAACGTATCACTGCTAGAATAGCTTATTGAAGTGAATCTGAAGATCACAAGTGTTAACATACACACATGCATTCGGTACGCAATAATACAAAGCTTTAGTTCAAAGCGAAATATATATCCGCTTACACGTTTAGTAAACCAGTTTTCGACTCGCATGTTAAGATTCTGCAGTGTATTTTTCACGAATTCTTAGGCAGATAAATATTATATTCTGCACGAGTTTTGCAAAACATGTGATTTCTACATATACGTATATTTATGCACTGAATGGGCATTTCTGCAAAATCGCGGAATACAATGGGAACTGTCCTGTAATCAAACTACATTAAAATAAACCCAGTTCCGTCTAGAGGCTAAGCCGACTGCCCAGTAGCCCTTCATGCGAATGGCAGCACTGAGGCTCCATACTTTGTGACGCTGGACATCGCAATACGCGACACGTCTTGTTGGCCTGTCACACAAGCTTTCATGAAGCTCTGAAACTGGAGCTGTAAAGGTATGAATGAAAAACTTCCCGAATCCAGTGAGACTGAATGCTTTATGTTTTACAAACATTGCTCTACTTACCTGCTGTGGAAGATGTGTTGAAAACTTCGAACGTGAGAGCTGTAGTTCCAACTGACGTTGTAGTATATCCATCTGGCATTGTCGAACTTAGACCTGACGTCGTTGTCGTTCCATCTGGCGTTGTTGTCGCTCCACCTAACGTTGTTATACCTGCATCTGACGTCGATGTAGTTGCATCTAATACAGTTACATTTTTAACTAACGTTGTTGTTGTTGAGACACCTGACGTTGTTGTAGTTCCACCTGACGTTGTTGAAACTGCTGGTCTATATGACGTTGATGTTGTTCCAACTGACGTCGATGCAGATCTATTTAAAGTTGATGTTACATTTGACGTCGGTGATCCATTTGACGTTACTGAAGTTAGACCTGTTGCTGTTGTTTCACCTGGCGCTGTTGTCGATGCATCGGGTAACGTTGTAATTCCACCTGTTCCTGGTGAGATACGTGACGTTGTCGCTTTGGATCCAACTAAAGTCGTTCGTATATCAACTGTTGGCGTTCCATCTGACCTTGATGTACTTTCATCTGGCGTCACTGTGGATCCAACCAGCGTTGTTGGAATATCATCTCTTGGCGTTCCATTTGACGTTGTAGTACTTCTACCTGGCGTTGTCGAGCTTAGACCTGACACTGTTGTAGTTCCATCTGACATTGATGAAGTTTTATCTAGCGTCACTGTGGATCCAACTAACGTTGTTGGTTTATCATCTGTTGGCGTTCCATTTGACGTTGTAGGACTTACACCTGACGTTGTCGAACTTAGGCCTGACACTGTTGTAGTTCCATCTGACATTGATGTAGTTTTATCCGGCGTCACTGTGGATCCAACTAACGTTGTTGGTATATGATCTGTTGGCGTTCCATTTGACGTTGTAGAACTTCCACCTGCCGTTGTCGAGCTTAGGCCTGACACTGTTGTAGTTCCATCTGACATTGATGAAGTTTTATCTAGCGTCACTGTGGATCCAACTAACGTTGTTGGTTTATCATCTGTTGGCGTTCCATTTGACGTTGTAGTACTTCCACCTGGCGTTGTCGAACTTAGGCCTGACACTGTTGCAGAACCATCTGACGTTGATGTAGTTTTATATGGCGTCACTGTGGATCCAACTAACGTTGTTGGTATATCACTTGTTGGCGTTCCATTTGACGTTGTAGGACTTACACCTGACGTTGTCGAACTTAGGCCTGACACTGTTGTAGTTCCATCTGACATTGATGAAGTTTTATCTAGCGTCACTGTGGATCCAACTAACGTTGTTGGTTTATCATCTGTTGGCGTTCCATTTGACGTTGTAGGACTTACACCTGACGTTGTCGAACTTAGGCCTGACACTGTTGTTGTTCCATCTGACATTGATGAAGTTTTATCTAGCGTCACTGTGGATCCAACTAACGTTGTTGGTTTATCATCTGTTGGCGTTCCATTTGACGTTGTAGGACTTACACCTGACGTTGTCGAACTTAGGCCTGACACTGTTGTAGTTCCATCTGACATTGATGAAGTTTTATCTAGCGTCACTGTGGATCCAACTAACGTTGTTGGTATATCATCTGTTGGCGTTCCATTTGACGTTGTAGAACTTCCACCTGGCGAACTTAGGCCTGACACTGTTGTTCTTCCATCTGACATTGATGTAGTTTTATCTAGCGTCACTGTGGACCCAACTAACGTTGTTGGTTTATCATCTGTTGGCGTTCCATTTGACGTTGTAGAACTTCCACCTGGCGTTGTCGAACTTAGGCCTGACACTGTTGTAGTTCCATCTGACATTGATGAAGTTTTATCTAGCGTCACTGTGGATCCAACTAACGTTGTTGGTTTATCATCTGTTGGCGTTCCATTTGACGTTGTAGGACTTACACCTGACGTTGTCGAACTTAGGCCTGACACTGTTGTTGTTCCATCTGACATTGATGAAGTTTTATCTAGCGTCACTGTGGATCCAACTAACGTTGTTGGTTTATCATCTGTTGGCGTTCCATTTGACGTTGTAGGACTTACACCTGACGTTGTCGAACTTAGGCCTGACACTGTTGTTGTTCCATCTGACATTGATGAAGTTTTATCTAGCGTCACTGTGGATCCAACTAACGTTGTTGGTTTATCATCTGTTGGCGTTCCATTTGACGTTGTAGGATTTACACCTGACGTTGTCGAACTTAGGCCTGACAGTGTTGTAGTTCCATCTGACATTGATGAAATTTTATCTAGCGTCACTGTGGATCCAACTAACGTTGTTGGTATATCATCTGTTGGCGTTCCATTTGACGTTGTAGAACTTCCACCTGGCGAACTTAGGCCTGACACTGTTGTTGTTCCATCTGACATTGATGTAGTTTTATCTGGCGTCACTGTGGATCCAACTAACGTTGTTGGTTTATCATCTGTTGGCGTTCCATTTGACGTTGTAGAACTTCCACCTGGCGTTGTCGAACTTAGGCCTGACACTGTTGTAGTTCCATCTGACATTGATGAAGTTTTATCTAGCGTCACTGTGGATCCAACTAACGTTGTTGGTATATCATCTGTTGGCGTTCCATTTGACGTTGTAGAACTTCCACCTGGCGAACTTAGGCCTGACACTGTTGTTGTTCCATCTGACATTGATGTAGTTTTATCTGGCGTCACTGTGGACCCAACTAACGTTGTTGGTTTATCATCTGTTGGCGTTCCATTTGACGTTCTAGAACTTCCACCTGGCGTTGTCGAACTTAGGCCTGACACTGTTGTAGTTCCATCTGACATTGATGAAGTTTTATCTAGCGTCACTGTGGATCCAACTAACGTTGTTGGTTTATCATCTGTTGGCGTTCCATTTGACGTTGTAGGACTTACACCTGACGTTGTCGAACTTAGGCCTGACACTGTTGTTGTTCCATCTGACATTGATGAAGTTTTATCTAGCGTCACTGTGGATCCAACTAACGTTGTTGGTTTATCATCTGTTGGCGTTCCATTTGACGTTGTAGGACTTACACCTGACGTTGTCGAACTTAGGCCTGACACTGTTGTTGTTCCATCTGACATTGATGAAGTTTTATCTAGCGTCACTGTGGATCCAAATAACGTTGTGTGTATACCATCTGTTGGCGTTCCATTTGACGTTGTAGAACTTCCACCTAGCGAACTTAGGCCTGACACTGTTGTTGTTCCATCTGACATTGATGTAGTTTTATCTGGCGTCACTGTGGACCCAACTAACGTTGTTGGTTTATCATCTGTTGGCGTTCCATTTGACGTTGTAGAACTTCCACCTGGCGTTGTCGAACTTAGGCCTGACACTGTTGTAGTTCCATCTGACATTGATGAAGTTTTATCTAGCGTCACTGTGGATCCAACTAACGTTGTTGGTATATCATCTGTTGGCGTTCCATTTGACGTTGTAGAACTTCCACCTGGCGAACTTAGGCCTGACACTGTTGTTGTTCCATCTGACATTGATGTAGTTTTATCTGGCGTCACTGTGGACCCAACTAACGTTGTTGGTATATCATCTGTTGGCGTTCCATTTGACGTTGTAGAACTTCCACCTGGCGTTGTCGAACTTAGGCCTGACACTGTTGTTGTTCCATCTGACATTGATGAAGTTTTATCTAGCGTCACTGTGGATCCAACTAACGTTGTTGGTTTATCATCTGTTGGCGTTCCATTTGACGTTGTAGGACTTACACCTGACGTTGTCGAACTTAGGCCTGACACTGTTGTAGTTCCATCTGACATTGATGAAGTTTTATCTAGCGTCACTGTGGATCCAACTAACGTTGTTGGTATATCATCTGTTGGCGTTCCATTTGACGTTGTAGAACTTCCACCTGGCGAACTTAGGCCTGACACTGTTGTTGTTCCATCTGACATTGATGTAGTTTTATCTGGCGTCACTGTGGACCCAACTAACGTTGTTGGTATATCATCTGTTGGCGTTCCATTTGACGTTGTAGAACTTCCACCTGGCGTTGTCGAACTTAGGCCTGACACTGTTGTTGTTCCATCTGACATTGATGAAGTTTTATCTAGCGTCACTGTGGATCCAACTAACGTTGTTGGTTTATCATCTGTTGGCGTTCCATTTGACGTTGTAGGACTTACACCTGACGTTGTCGAACTTAGGCCTGACACTGTTGTAGTTCCATCTGACATTGATGTAGTTTTATCCGGCGTCACTGTGGATCCAAATAACGTTGTGTGTATACCATCTGTTGGCGTTCCATTTGACGTTGTAGAACTTCCACCTAGCGAACTTAGGCCTGACACTGTTGTTGTTCCATCTGACATTGATGTAGTTTTATCTGGCGTCACTGTGGACCCAACTAACGTTGTTGGTTTATCATCTGTTGGCGTTCCATTTGACGTTGTAGAACTTCCACCTGGCGTTGTCGAACTTAGGCCTGACACTGTTGTAGTTCCATCTGACATTGATGAAGTTTTATCTAGCGTCACTGTGGATCCAACTAACGTTGTTGGTATATCATCTGTTGGCGTTCCATTTGACGTTGTAGAACTTCCACCTGGCGAACTTAGGCCTGACACTGTTGTTGTTCCATCTGACATTGATGTAGTTTTATCTGGCGTCACTGTGGACCCAACTAACGTTGTTGGTTTATCATCTGTTGGCGTTCCATTTGACGTTGTAGAACTTCCACCTGGCGTTGTCGAACTTAGGCCTGACACTGTTGTTGTTCCATCTGACATTGATGAAGTTTTATCTAGCGTCACTGTGGATCCAACTAACGTTGTTGGTTTATCATCTGTTGGCGTTCCAATTGACGTTGTAGGACTTACACCTGACGTTGTCGAACTTAGGCCTGACACTGTTGTAGTTCCATCTGACATTGATGTAGTTTTATCCGGCGTCACTGTGGATCCAACTAACGTTGTTGGTATACCATCTGTTGGCGTTCCATTTGACGTTGTAGGACTTACACCTGACGTTCTCGAGCTTAGGCCTGACACTGTTGTAGTTCCATCTGACATTGATGTAGTTTTATCTGGCGTCACTGTGGATCCAACTAACGTTGTTGGTATATCATCTGTTGGCGTTCCATTTGACGTTGTAGAACTTCCACCTGCCGTTGTCGAGCTTAGGCCTGACACTGTTGTAGTTCCATCTGACATTGATATAGTTTTATCTAGCGTCACTGTGGATCCAACTAACATTGTTGGTATATCATCTGTTGGCGTTCCATTTGACGTTGTAGAACTTCCACCTGGCGAACTTAGGCCTGACACTGTTGTTGTTCCATCTGACATTGATGTAGTTTTATCTGGCGTCACTGTGGATCCAACTAACGTTGTTGGTTTATCATCTGTTGGCGTTCCATTTGACGTTGTAGAACTTCCACCTGGCGAACTTAGGACTGACACTGTTGTTGTTCCATCTGACATTGATGTAGTTTTACCTGGCGTCACTGTGGATCCAACTAACGTTGTTGGTATATCATCTGTTGGCGTTCCATTTGACGTTATAGTACTTTCACCTGGCGAACTTAGGACTGACACTGTTGTTGTTCCATCTGACATTGATGTAGTTTTATCCGGCGCCACTGTGGATCCAACTAACGTTGTTGGTTTATCATCTGTTGGCGTTCGATTTGACGTTGTAGAACTTCCACCTGACGTTGTCGAGCTTAGGCCTGGCACTGTTGTAGATCCACCTGACGTTATTTCAACTGTCGTTGTTGTCGATCCCACTGGCGTTGTGGTACTTTCATCTGGCGTCACTGTGGGTCCAACTAACGTTGTTGTTTTATCATCTGTAGGCGTTCCATTTGACGTTGTAGAACTTCCACCTGGCGTTGTCGAACTTAGGCCTGACACTGTTGTAGTTCCATCTGACATTGATGTAGTTTTATCTGGCGTCGTTGTGGGTCCAACTAACGTTGTTGTTTTATCATCTGTAGACGTTCCATTTGACGTTGTAGAACTTCCACCTGGCGTTGTCGAACTTAGGCCTGACACTGTTGTAGTTCCATCTGACATTGATGAAGTTTTATCTAGCGTCACTGTGGATCCAACTAACGTTGTTGGTATATCATCTGTTGGCGTTCCATTTGACGTTGTAGAACTTCCACCTGGCGAACTTAGGCCTGACACTGTTGTTGTTCCATCTGACATTGATGTAGTTTTATCTAGCGTCACTGTGGACCCAACTAACGTTGTTGGTTTATCATCTGTTGGCGTTCCATTTGACGTTGTAGGACTTACACCTGACGTTGTCGAACTTAGGCCTGACACTGTTGTTGTTCCATCTGACATTGATGAAGTTTTATCTAGCGTCACTGTGGATCCAACTAACGTTGTTGGTTTATCATCTGTTGGCGTTCCATTTGACGTTGTAGGACTTACACCTGACGTTGTCGAACTTAGGCCTGACACTGTTGTTGTTCCATCTGACATTGATGAAGTTTTATCTAGCGTCACTGTGGATCCAACTAACGTTGTTGGTTTATCATCTGTTGGCGTTCCATTTGACGTTGTAGGATTTACACCTGACGTTGTCGAACTTAGGCCTGTCAGTGTTGTAGTTCCATCTGACATTGATGAAGTTTTATCTAGCGTCACTGTGGATCCAACTAACGTTGTTGGTATATCATCTGTTGGCGTTCCATTTGACGTTGTAGAACTTCCACCTGGCGAACTTAGGCCTGACACTGTTGTTGTTCCATCTGACATTGATGTAGTTTTATCTGGCGTCACTGTGGATCCAACTAACGTTGTTGGTTTATCATCTGTTGGCGTTCCATTTGACGTTCTAGAACTTCCACCTGGCGTTGTCGAACTTTGGCCTGACACTGTTGTAGTTCCATCTGACATTGATGAAGTTTTATCTAGCGTCACTGTGGATCCAACTAACGTTGTTGGTTTATCATCTGTTGGCGTTCCATTTGACGTTGTAGGACTTACACCTGACGTTTTCGAACTTAGGCCTGACACTGTTGTTGTTCCATCTGACATTGATGAAGTTTTATCTAGCGTCACTGTGGATCCAACTAACGTTGTTGGTTTATCATCTGTTGGCGTTCGATTTGACGTTGTAGGACTTACACCTGACGTTGTCGAACTTAGGCCTGACACTGTTGTAGTTCCATCTGACATTGATGAAGTTTTATCTAGCGTCACTGTGGATCCAAATAACGTTGTTGGTATACCATCTGTTGGCGTTCCATTTGACGTTGTAGAACTTCCACCTGGCGAACTTAGGCCTGACACTGTTGTTGTTCCATCTGACATTGATGAAGTTTTATCTAGCGTCACTGTGGATCCAACTAACGTTGTTGGTTTATCATCTGTTGGCGTTCCATTTGACGTTGTAGGACTTACACCTGACGTTGTCGAACTGAGGCCTGACAGTGTTGTAGTTCCATCTGACATTGATGAAGTTTTATCTAGCGTCACTGTGGATCCAACTAACGTTGTTGGTATATCATCTGTTGGCGTTCCATTTGACGTTGTAGAACTTCCACCTGGCGAACTTAGGCCTGACACTGTTGTTGTTCCATCTGACATTGATGTAGTTTTATCTGGCGTCACTGTGGACCCAACTAACGTTGTTGGTTTATCATCTGTTGGCGTTCCATTTGACGTTGTAGAACTTCCACCTGGCGTTGTCGAACTTAGGCCTGACACTGTTGTAGTTCCATCTGACATTGATGAAGTTTTATCTAGCGTCACTGTGGATCCAACTAACGTTGTTGGTTTATCATCTGTTGGCGTTCCATTTGACGTTGTAGGACTTACACCTGACGTTGTCGAACTTAGGCCTGACACTGTTGTAGTTCCATCTGACATTGATGTAGTTTTATCTAGCGTCACTGTGGATCCAACTAACGTTGTTGGTATATGATCTGTTGGCGTTCCATTTGACGTTGTAGGACTTACACCTGACGTTGTCGAGCTTAGGCCTGACACTGTTGTAGTTCCATCTGACATTGATGTAGTTTTATCTGGCGTCACTGTGGATCCAACTAACGTTGTTGGTATATCATCTGTTTGCGTTCCATTTGACGTTGTAGAACTTCCACCTGCCGTTGTCGAGCTTAGGCCTGACACTGTTGTAGTTCCATCTGACATTGATGAAGTTTTATCTAGCGTCACTGTGGATCCAACTAACATTGTTGGTATATCATCTGTTGGCGTTCCATTTGACGTTGTAGAACTTCCACCTGGCGAACTTAGGCCTGACACTGTTGTTGTTCCATCTGACATTGATGTAGTTTTATCTGGCGTCACTGTGGATCCAACTAACGTTGTTGGTATATCATCTGTTGGCGTTCCATTTGACGTTATAGTACTTTCACCTGGCGAACTTAGGCCTGGTACTGTTGTTGTTCCATCTGACATTGATGTAGTTTTATCCGGCGCCACTGTGGATCCAACTAACGTTGTTGGTTTATCATCTGTTGGCGTTCGATTTGACGTTGTAGAACTTCCACCTGCCGTTGTCGAGCTTAGGCCCGGCACTGTTGTAGATCCACCTGACGTTATTTCAACTGTCGTTGTTGTCGATCCCACTGGCGTTGTGGTACTTTCATCTGGCGTCGCTGTGGGTCCAACTAACGTTGTTGTTTTATCATCTGTAGGCGTTCCATTTGACGTTGTAGAACTTCCACCTGGCGTTGTCGAACTTAGGCCTGACACTGTTGTAGTTCCATCTGACATTGATGTAGTTTTATCTGGCGTCGCTGTGGGTCCAACTAACGTTGTTGTTTTATCATCTGTAGGCGTTCCATTTGACGTTGTAGAACTTCCACCTGGCGTTGTCGAACTTAGGCCTGACACTGTTGTAGTTCCATCTGACATTGATGTAGTTTTATCTGGCGTCGCTGTGGGTCCAACTAACGTTGTTGTTTTATCATATGTAGGCGTTCCATTTGACGTTGTTGAACTCCCACCTGGCGTTGTCAAACTTAGGCCTGACACTGTTGTAGTTCCATCTGACATTGATGTAGTTTTATCTGGCGTCACTGTGGATCCAACTAACGTTGTTGGTATATCATCTGTTGGCGTTCCATTTGACGTTGTAGAACTTCCACCTGCCGTTGTCGAGCTTAGGCCTGGCACTGTTGTAGATCCACCTGACGTTATTTCAACTGTCGTTGTCGATCCAACTAGCGTTGTGGTACTTTCATCTGGCGTCGCTGTGGGTCCAACTAACGTTGTTGTTTTATCATCTGTAGGCGTTCCATTTGACGTTGTAGAACTTCCACCTGGCGTTGTCGAACTTAGGCCTGACACTGTTGTAGTTCCATCTGACATTGATGTAGTTTTATCTGGCGTCACTGTGGATCCAACTAACGTTGTTGGTTTATCATCTGTTGGCGTTCCATTTGACGTTGTAGAACTTCCACCTGGCGTTGTCGAGCTTAGGCCTGACACTGTTGTAGAACCATCTGACATTGATGTAGTTTTATCTGGCGTCACTGTGGAGCCAACTAACGTTGTTGGTTTATCATCTGTTGGCGTTCCATTTGACGTTGTAGCACTTTCACCTGGCGAACTTAGGCCTGACACTGGTGTTGTTCCATCTGACATTGATGTAGTTTTATCTGGCGTCACTGTGGATCCAACTAACGTTGTTGGTATATCATCTGTTGGCGTTCCATTTGACGTTGTAGAACTTCCACCTGCCGTTGTCGAGCTTAGGCCCGGCACTGTTGTAGATCCACCTGACGTTATTTCAACTGTCGTTGTCGATCCAACTGGCGTTGTGGTATTTTCATCTGGCGTCGTTGTGGATCCAACTAACGTTGTTGGTATATCATCTGTTGGCGTTCGATTTGACGTTGTAGTACTTTCACCTGGCGTTGACGAACTTAGACCTGACGGTGTTGTAGATCCACCTGACGTTATTTCATCTGTCGTTGTTGTCGATGCAACTGGCGTTGTGGTATTTTCATCTGGCGTCGTTGTGGATCCAACTAACGTTGTTGGTATATCATCTGTTGGCGTTCCATTTGACGTTATAGTACTTTCACCTGGCGAACTTAGGTCTGACACTGTTGTTGTTCCATCTGACATTGATGTAGTTTTATCTGGCGTCACTGTGGATCCTACTAACGTTGTTTGTTTATCATCTGTTGGCGTTCCATTTGACGTTGTAGTGCTTCCACCTGGCGTTGTCGAGCTAAGGCCTGGCACTGTTGTAGATCCACCTGACGTTATTTCAACTGTCGTTGTCGATCCAACTGGCGTTTTGGTACTTACATCTGGCGTCGCTGTGGATCCAACTAACGTTGTTGGTTTATCATCTGTAGGCGTTCCATTTGACGTTGTAGTACTTTCACCTGGCGTTGTCGAGTTTAGACCTGACACTCTTGTTGTTCCATCTGACATTGATGTAGTTTTATCTGACGTCACTGTGGATTCAACTAACGTTGTTGGTTTATCATCTGTTGGCGTTCCATTTGACATTGTAGTGCTTCCACCTGGCGTTGTCGAGCTTAGGCCTGGCACTGTTGTAGATCCACCTGACGTTATTTCAACTGTCGTTATTGTCGAGCCAACTGGCGTTGTAGTATTTTCATCTGGCGTCGTTGTGGATCCAACTAACGTTGTTGGTATATCATCTGTTGGCGTTCGATTTGACGTTGTAGTACTTTCACCTGGCGTTGACGAGCTTAGACCTGACACTGTTGTTGTTCCATCTGACATTGATGTAGTTTTATCTGGCTTCATTGTGGATCCAACTAACGTTGTTGGTTTATCATCTGTTGGCGTTCCATTTGACGTTGTAGTACTTCCACCTGGCGTTGTCGAGCTTAGACCTGACACTGTTGTTTTTCCATCTGACATTGATGTAGTTTTATCTGGCGTCACTGTGGATTCAACTAACGTTGTTGGTTTATCATCTGTTGGCGTTCCATTTGACGTTGTAGTACTTTCACCTGCCGTTGTCGAGCTTAGGCCTGGCACTGTTGTAGATCCACCTGACGTTATTTCAACTGTCGTTGTCGATCCAACTGGCGTTGTGGTACTTACATCTGGCGTCGCTGTGGATCCAACTAACGTTGTTGGTTTATCATCTTTAGGCGTTCCATTTGACGTTGTAGTACTTCCACCTGGCGTTGTCGAGCTTAGACCTGACACTGTTGTTTTTCCATCTGACATTGATGTAGTTTTATCTGGCGTCACTGTGGATCCAACTAACGTTGTTGGTTTATCATCTGTAGGCGTTCCATTTGACGTCGCAGTACTTCCACCTGACGTTGTTCCAACTATCGTTGTTGTCGAGCCAGCTCGCGTTGTTGTAGTTTCACCTCTTTCTGTCGTTGATAAAAGTGTCGATGGTGCTGAAGTTCCACCTGTCGCGGCTTCTAATCCATCGGATGCCTTTGCATATCCACCTGCTGGTGATGTCGTTTCATTTGACAGTGTTGTCAATTCAACTGGCGTTGTTGCCGATCCATCGGATGCTGTTGTGGATTCACCTAACGTTTTCGTTCGATGTAACGTTGTTGGCAATTTACTTGTAGTTTCAACTGGGTTTGTTGTTGACAGAAGTGACGGTGTTGTTCTTTCAACTGGGGTAGCTATTGATCTATCTGACGTTGTTGTTGATCCATTCAACGTTACTGTAGCTTCACCTGGTGATAATATTAATCCTTCGGGTGTCATTGTAGATCCACCTTCTGGTAATGAAGTTCCATCTGACAAAGCTGCCGATTCACCTGATGTTTTTGCAAATCCGTTGGATGTTGTTTTGGATCGATCTGATGTTGCTCTTACATGTAACTTTTTAGATCCATATGACGCTGTTGAAGTTAGACCTGTTGCTGTTGTTTCACCTGACATTGTTGTCGATCCATCGGTTGACGTCGTAGACCTACCTAACGCTGTAGAAGTACCTGTTTCTGTCGTTGAGACACGTGACGTTGTTGTAGTTCCATCTGACATTGATGTAGTTTTATCTGTAAATACGCGTAACCTTGTCATTGTATCTTCTGTAGGCGTTCCATTTGACGTTGCAGTGTTTCCACCTGACGATGTTGTAGTTTTAACCGACGTAGCTATAGATCCACCGGATATTGTTATGGATCCAAGTAACGTTGTTATAGTTCCACCTAACGTTGTTTTTAATCCACTGGATGCCGTTTTTGATCCACCTTCCGTTGCTGTAATTCCATCTGAAGTTGTTGTCAACTCATCTGACGTTGTCGATCCACCTGACGCTGTTGATCCATCGAATTTAACTGACTTTAGGGATGATCCAACTATTTCTGATCCTGGTGTATTTGACGCTGGTAGTCCGTCAGAACCATTATTTGTCTCTGCCCACGATCCATTATTTTCTGACGTTGATGAATCTGTTGCCATTGTGGACCACGTACGAAATTCATCCACTTTTGACGATGAAACATTTGACACCGAAGTGGAAATGTTTGTCCTTGGTGTGGATCCATCTAGTGATCCGTGTGTGTGTTTTACTGTGCCTTGCGTAGAAACAAAGGATATATTTTTTCCTGATGTAGGTAATTCATCTTCTACCAGCGGAGAACTATCTGGCCTTGAACTGGAGACAGTTGACCGTGGATATGCTGTTTCAGTACCTACTGTGATCCGAGTTGTCGAGTCATCTTCATCTGGCCTTGAACTGGAGACAGTTGACCGTGGATATGCTGTTTCAGTACCTACTGTGATCCGAGTTGTCGATTCATCTTCATCTGGCCTTGAACTGGAGACAGTTGACCGTGGATATACTGTTTCAGTACCTACTGTGATCCGAGTTGTCGATTCATCTTCATCTGGCCTTGAACTGGAGACAGTTGACCGTGGATATGCTGTTTCAGTACCTACTGTGATCCGAGTTGTCGATTCATCTTCATCTGGCCTTGAACTGGAGACAGTTGACCGTGGATATGCTGTTTCAGTACCTACTGTGATCCGAGTTGTCGATTCATCTTCATCTGACCTTGAACTGGAGACAGTTGACCGTGGATATGCTGTTTCAGTACCTACTGTGATCCGAGTTGTCGATTCATCTTCATCTGGCCTTGAACTGGAGACAGTTGACCGTGGATATGCTGTTTCAGTACCTACTGTGATCGGAGTTGTCGATTCATCTTCATCTGACCTTGAACTGGAGACAGTTGACCGTGGATATGCTGTTTCAGTACCTACTGTGATCCGAGTTGTCGATTCATCTTCATCTGGCCTTGAACTGGAGACAGTTGACCGTGGATATGCTGTTTCAGTACCTACTGTGATCCGAGTTGTCGATTCATCTTCATCTGGCCTTGAACTGGAGACAGTTGACCGTGGATATGCTGTTTCAGTACCTACTGTGATCCGAGTTGTCGATTCATCTTCATCTGGCCTTGAACTGGAGACAGTTGACCGTGGATATGCTGTTTCAGTACCTACTGTGATCCGAGTTGTCGATTCATCTTCATCTGGCCTTGAACTGGAGACAGTTGACCGTGGATATGCTGTTTCAGTACCTACTGTGATCCGAGTTGTCGATTCATCTTCATCTGGCCTTGAACTGGAGACAGTTGACCGTGGATATGCTGTTTCAGTACCTACTGTGATCCGAGTTGTCGATTCATCTTCATCTGACCTTGAACTGGAGACAGTTGACCGTGGATATGCTGTTTCAGTACCTACTGTGATCCGAGTTGTCGATTCATCTTCATCTGGCCTTGAACTGGAGACAGTTGACCCTGGATATGCTGTTTCAGTACCTACTGTGATCCGAGTTGTCGATTCATCTTCATCTGACCTTGAACTGGAGACAGTTGACCGTGGATATGCTGTTACAGTACCTACTGTGATCCGAGTTGTCGATTCATCTTCATCTGGCCTTGAACTGGAGACAGTTGACCGCCGTGGATATGCTGTATCAGTACCTACTGTGATCCGAGTTGTCGATTCATCTTCATCTGGCCTTGAACTGGAGACAGTTGACCGTGGGTATGCTGTTTCAGTACCTACTGTGATCCGAGTTGTCGATTCATCTTCATCTGGCCTTGAACTGGAGACAGTTGACCGTGGATATGCTGTTTCAGTACCTACTGTGATCGGAGTTGTCGATTCATCTTCATCTGACCTTGAACTGGAGACAGTTGACCGTGGATATGCTGTTTCAGTACCTACTGTGATCCGAGTTGTCGATTCATCTTCATCTGGCCTTGAACTGGAGACAGTTGACCGTGGATATGCTGTTTCAGTACCTACTGTGATCCGAGTTGTCGATTCATCTTCATCTGACCTTGAACTGGAGACAGTTGACCGTGGATATGCTGTTTCAGTAACTACTGTGATCCGAGTTGTCGATTCATCTTCATCTGACCTTGAACTGGAGACAGTTGACCGTGGATATGCTGTTTCAGTACCTACTGTGATCCGAGTTTTCAATTCATCTTCATCTGGCCTTGAACTGGAGACCGTTGACCGTGGATATGCTGTTTCAGTACCTACTGTGATCCGAGTTGTCGATTCATCTTCATCTGGCCTTGAACTGGAGATAGTTGACCGTGGATGTGCTGTTTCAGTACCTACTGTGATCCGAGTTGTCGATTCATCTTCATCTGGCCTTGAACTGGAGACAGTTGACCGTGGATATGCTGTTTCAGTACCTACTGTGATCGGAGTTGTCGATTCATCTTCATCTGACCTTGAACTGGAGACAGTTGACCGTGGATATACTGTTTCAGTACCTACTGTGATCCGAGTTGTCGATTCATCTTCATCTGGCCTTGAACTGGAGACAGTTGACCGTGGATATGCTGTTACAGTACCTACTGTGATCCGAGTTGTCGATTCATCTTCATCTGGCCTTGAACTGGAGACAGTTGACCCTGGATATGCTGTTTCAGTACCTACTGTGATCCGAGTTGTCGATTCATCTTCATCTGACCTTGAACTGGAGACAGTTGACCGTGGATATGCTGTTACAGTACCTACTGCGATCCGAGTTGTCGATTCATCTGCATCTGCCCTTGAACTGGAGACAGTTGACCGTGGATATGCTGTTTCAGTACCTACTGTGATCCGAGTTGTCGATTCATCTTCATCTGGCCTTGAACTGGAGACAGTTGACCGTGGATATGCTGTTTCAGTACCTACTGTGATCCGAGTTGTCGATTCATCTTCATCTGGCCTTGAACTGGAGACAGTTGACCCTGGATATGCTGTTTCAGTACCTACTGTGATCCGAGTTGTCGATTCATCTTCATCTGGCCTTGAACTGGAGACAGTTGACCGTGGATATGCTGTTTCAGTACCTACTGTGATACGAGTTGTCGATTCATCTTCATCTGACCTTGAACTGGAGACAGTTGACCGTGGATATGCTGTTTCAGTACCTACTGTGATCCGAGTTGTCGATTCATCTTCATCTGGCCTTGAACTGGAGACAGTTGACCGTGGATATGCTGTTTCAGTACCTACTGTGATCCGAGTTGTCGATTCATCTTCATCTGACCTTGAACTGGAGACAGTTGACCGTGGATATGCTGTTTCAGTACCTACTGTGATCCGAGTTGTCGATTCATCTTCATCTGGCCTTGAACTGGAGACAGTTGACCCTGGATATGCTGTTTCAGTACCTACTGTGATCCGAGTTGTCGATTCATCTTCATCTGACCTTGAACTGGAGACAGTTGACCGTGGATATGCTGTTTCAGTACCTACTGTGATCCGAGTTGTCAATTCATCTTCATCTGACCTTGAACTGGAGACAGTTGACCGTGGATATGCTGTTTCAGTACCTACTGTGATCCGAGTTGTCAATTCATCTTCATCTGGCCTTGAACTGGAGACAGTTGACCGTGGATATGCTGTTTCAGTACCTACTGTGATCCGAGTTGTCGATTCATCTTCATCTGGCCTTGAACTGGAGACAGTTGACCCTGGATATGCTGTTTCAGTACCTACTGTGATCCGAGTTGTCGATTCATCTTCATCTGACCTTGAACTGGAGACAGTTGACCGTGGATATGCTGTTTCAGTACCTACTGTGATCCGAGTTGTCAATTCATCTTTTTCTTGCCTTGGTCCATCGATCATTTTACAGAAAACGTTTCCAAATTCATTTTTATTCTCAGCGACAGTGACCATTTTCTTTGAGACTGTACCTAAAATATAACATACACGATGTCTATGTTAGCAAACCTATATGTGTACAAGACAATTCGTTAAGACAGAAAAAACACGCCTTTGGTAAGAGAAGTATTCATTACATAGCCACACCAGAGTGACTTACCATTATGGCATTGTTTGACAAAGACGGTCGATTGATTATTCCCTTGAAACTGAAGTGAATGGTTGATGTAGATGTCACTTCCCATATAAGTCCTGCAGTTAGAGCCATTGTAGCCAACTGCAAA